GATAAATTTAAAAAAAAATTTTTTTTAAATACAGCAGATCACAGGGAGCAAAGTTATTAAATGCCTGCATCCCACCCTCAGAGGCGTCAACAGCTCAGTGAATACATCAATCCCGAGGTGCCCGGGCCCCACCGAGCCCCCCAGGAACCCGAGTCTCCAGGGACAGGCTGAAAACTCGCATTTCAACAAGCAGCTGGTGGAGCAGACGGCAGGGAAACGGGGGAAACACTCTTCTAGAAGCCCTTCCAACCGCACAGCCCCCTGCTATGGACAGGGGCTGACCATAACGTGCTTCTAAATTCTGGGATAGAAATTTTTATAAACTTTCTCTCCACCCAAGAACTGTCCTTAACTCCTGGTATTGATGGCTCCGACCGTGGTTTTATTTCTGATTCACAGCAGCGTGTGAGAAGCAAATATTTATTCAGTGCTTCCTGTGTGACAGGACGGCGAGGAATAGGCCCAATGCCCTGTCTGCCCGCCGGGGACCCCACCCAGGACGCAGGTCCTTAGGACATGTAGGGAGAACCTCTGGCATGCCCAGGCAGGTGGACCAGGTGGACCCAGAGAGTCCACTGCCCCCCACCTGGGCCCCGGGCATCCCCTGGGTTGTGCTGAGGCTTCTCTGCTTAGGGCACCCCTTGCCTGCATTAGTTGATTAGATGGTACATCTGTTCCCTCCTTTGACTCGCCCCGATTTTTGCAGCTCCCTCCACCCTTCCAGGGGGCTCAGGGCTGCCTCTGCAGGCGCTGGCTCCCTTCGAGGGCCCTGGCTCAGAGCTAAAGCCACGGTCCACTTGGTTTGTAGCAAGCGCAGGTGGCCAGGCGTGTGATGGGCACTAATGCGGGAGGCAGGACCGCGCTGTACCCGCGTGGGGCCCCTGGCTTTAGGTTTAGCTTCACTGTTCCTCCCCTTGTGAACGGAGATGAACTGGTAACCGGTAAATGCTTAGCTGTGTAAATGTTCCATCTTTCCTTTTCTTCCTGTTTTTCCTTTCTTTTTCTTTTTTTTTTAAGGGTTTCTTGGGCTAGAATTGAATTAGCAACCAATTTGGGATGCCTGGGTGGCTCAGGGCATGACCCTGGGCTCCTGGGATCGAGTCCCATGTCGGGCTCCCTGTATGGAGCCTGCTTCTTCCTCTGCCTGTGTCTCTGCCTCTCTCTCTGTGTCTCTCATGAATAAATAAATAACATCTTTAAAAAAAAAAAGGAATTAGCAACCGATTCTGATGACAATTTTTTTGCATATGGGAACACAAGCCACAACTGATTAGCTGCAGAAGCAGGTCTGTGGATCACTTGCCTGCAAGCACCAAGAGGAAAGCAAAAGAGATGAGCACCTTGCTGAGGAAGAAAGGGCCCCGAGACGCTGAGAAAAAAAGCCCTTGGCTTCCCTACGCCGGGGAAAATCAGGGACTTCACAGATTTCAAGCTGAAGCAATGTCCGAGGCCCTGGAGTGGCTCCAGGACCCTGGCTGGGCAGACAGGATATTTGGTCTTTTTCTCCAGCTCCAGCAACATGAGAACCCCGGGGCATTAAGGAATGAGAGATAAGTGTCAGTCAGTCTTCCAGAGCCTCTGGACAGAAAAAGTAATGCTAATTATGGGAGAGATTTACGTTAGTGTACTAATTATAGGCAGTCATAGTAATAACACTATTAGTTCACCCTGGGGGCTCGGACGCTGCCCCAAATGTTTCACACTTAGTAACTCATTTAGTACTTTTTTTTTTTTTAAGATTTCATTTATTTTTTCACGAGAGACACACACACAGAGGTAGAGACACAGGCAGAAGGAGAAGCAGGCTCCCTGCGGGGAGCCCGATGCGGGACTCAATCCCAGGACCCCGGGATCACGCCCTGAGCCAAAGGCAAACACTCAACCACTCAGCCACCCAGGGGTCCCTCATTTAGTACTTAGGAAAAAACAAAAACAAAAACAAAATTCAAAACCCTTTGAGGCTGCTTATGAGTATTATCCCCACAGAGAGGGCCAGAGATGCTCAGCAGTTAGTCCTGTGCCACAGAGCGGTACGAGGGAGGCCTGCCTGCATCTGAGTTCGAGCATTTGGCCTCCAGAGCCTCCTTGCTGTGGCTGCTGTAAAACATCTGTCTGCAACCAGGTGTGAGCAGAGAACTCTGACCCACACACAACCTCTACAACCACCATCTAGAAGCCAGACCATGGCCACAGGCCTCTGCAGCCTCAAGCCCGGACCAGTTAGGAGGCGGCTGTGACTGCCAGCTTCTCTTCCCCTTCTAGCTCAGGACAGCCAGAGAAAACCGAATCCAGCCCTGAAAACAATCCCACAGGATTCCCAGCTCGTAGTGAGCCCACCCACAGACCCCATGGAGCACACCCGAGTATTCCTTGTTTTCCATGATCAAGCTGTTCCCCACCCCTGCCTGCTGTGAGTCTCTGCCAAACCCAGGTGACAGTGGGACCCCCAGCCACAAGCCAGCTCTGAATTAACAGCCTTTGCTCGCCGTCCTTTGGGTGGTCTTTACTTACTTCCCAGGGTATTACCCTATTTGTAAAATGTTGAGTAGGGGAAAGGGAAGGCTAGGTAGGGAGAGAGAAGTAGGGGGCCATGGGATGAGGCTCACAAAAATCCCAAAAATGTGGAGGTGTAAGGTAACCAGAGAGGAAGAAACAAATAGGACCATCTGGTCCTCGGTGTCTTGTTCTAACAGCAACTTGTGATCCAACAGAGAACTTACTGGACCCTAAAAGGGAAATGGTCCATTAAAGATGTCATCACCAGTCCTTACTTACTCCATGGTGCTCTCAATAAAGATGTTAAAAGTTCCCTGGTTGGATTTCAATAAAAGACCAATCCTACGGGCCCCCAGTGCAGCCCTGTTGGGATCCCTAACAGTCCTGAGAGCTTTTTCTGAATCCTCTTTAATAAAACTCTTATTGGGATCCCTGGGTGGCTCAGTGGTTTAGTGCCTGCTTTTGGTCCAGGGCGTGATCCTGGAGTCCCGGGATTAAGTCCCACGTTGGGCTCCCTGCGTGGAGCCTGTTTCTCCCTCTGCCTGTGCCTGTGCCTCTCTCTCTCTCTCTCTGTGTGTCTCATGAATAAATAAATAGAATCTTTAAAAATAATAATAAAACTCTTATCGCTTTACTCACTCTCCTTTGTCCATGAGAGTCCTTCTTCAACTCCGTGAGACGAGAACCTGGCTCTCCTGTCTCAGCATGAGTGCATGAGGAGCAGGGTCCAGCAGGGAGAGAGGACCCGTCCCGAGGAGGCCTGTGTTATAAAAATTCAACTGTGTGCATTTGAAGGGCTAGCTGGCTTGATTCAACGATCCACTGAGAGCAGCATCCCATCTAGCAAGCACACAGGTGCTCCGGGAGCTGCAGAGAGAGTGTAGGGGTAGTGTAGACAGAAACAGGGGAGGACAATCAGCAGAAGAGAAGATTATTTTGGAAAAGGTCACCTTCCCTGGCGGGGGGGGGGGGGGGGCGGACAGGGGCCTGATCCTGCAGATTCCCTCCTCTTCCATTGGGGGAAGGAGGAGAACCCATGGGACAGATGATCTCCTTGGTGCCACTAGAAGATTCCTACTGGCCAGTTAAGACTACATTTCTGGGGCAGGTTGTGGCTAGGTTAGGCATGAGGTCCTGGCCTGGTGACGTGACCTAAAGGCTCCATTTTGGGCCTGTGGTTTTCTTTTTAACCTAATGCAAGAGGGAGCAAAACCTGCTGGGCAGGGTGAAGAGAGGAGGGGGAGGGGAGGAGGGCCAAGCCCACTGAGCTGTGTGACAAGGAAAAGCCAGAGAACCGCCTGCCTTTCCCCACGTTGACAATTAATTTCTGATGCTTTGCTTTCTATTTTTATGGAGTCAAATCTGACTCAGTTGCGCATTCATGTGGCTGTGAACAGGTCCATCTCCTCCTCAGCTCCCCCGCCCCGGGCTCAACCACTTGTCCTCCCACCTTGTCCTCCCTCCTTTCCTAAAGTTACAAACCGGGCTTTGCCCCAGCAGGTACCAGAAAGGCTTGTCTCCCCACACACCTGCTCGGGGAGGCTCTGGCAGCGGCTCCAGGTCAGCCCAGCACCCGGCGGGGCGGGTGGGCTCCTGCAGAGCCAGCACTCAGGGAGAGGACGCCCGCGGCCACCGAGGGGTGGGTCAAGGGGTGGCAGGGGTCCGGCCCTTTCTCAAAAACCAGTCCTGTCTTGACAGCTCCTAGCACGGCCCCTACCCCCGCCCCGAATAAAGTGTGGGACCCTCCCCCATCCCTGGGTGGTTGAATCTAATTCTCACCCAGATCTTGCCCTAAATGCCCTCGATCTGACCACAAACCCTGCAGCCCCCAGCCCAGCCCGGCCGAAGCCCCAAGAGCCAGCTCCTCCCTTCCCTGGACAGCTTGGAGCCTCCTGTGTCCAACCCCCCCCCCGCCCTCCCTGTGCCTCTGGGTCACATGCGGGTGACTGTCCAGATCCGCTGGCACAAGCGGGGTGCGGGGCCGGTTGAACGCAGAGCGCCCTGAGGCCGCACCCTGGACTCGGCGCCCCCTGCAGCTCCTGCCCCCCCCCCAGCTCCCCCAGCTCCCGGCCGCGCGGGCTTCTCTCCCCTGGGCCCGGGGCAAGCTCTCACCTCCCGTGCAGCTCCCCGCTCCCCCGGGCGCCCCCACCCCGCCCCAGCGCTGCACGGGGGGCGCCTCCAGACCGTCCCCTGCAGAGCCCACCCCGAGGGGGAACCGCCCCCACCGCGCCCGACCCGCCACCGGAGGACACCGAGGCCGCGGTTCGGGGACGTCCCTACACGGCAGGACCACGAGCGCCCACACGGTGAGCGCGGCGAGGGCCCCGGGGGCGGCCGCCTGGGGCGCACGGGGGCGGCGGGGGCGGGGGTGGGGCAGCAGGGGACCCGACTCGCCCGTGGCCCCGCCCCCTCGTGGCCCCGCCCCTCGTGGCCCCGCCCCGACTCCGCCCCTCCTGGCCCCGCCCCGCCCCGCACCACGTGACCGCCGCCCGCTTTAAGAGGAGCGGGTTCCGGGGCTCGGGGTTCCGCTGGGCCCCGCCGCTCGGTCCTGCGACTGCGCCTCCGTCCGCGCTCCCGCCGCCGCCGCCGCCGCCGCCGCCAGCATGATGTGCGGGGCGCCCAGCGCTTCGCAGCCCGCCACGGCCGACACCCAGGCCATCGCCGACCAGGTAGGCGGCAGCGCGCGGGGCCGGACCCGCTGGGCCCCGGGGCCTCCCGCAGCGCCGCAGGTGCAGAGCCCGGCGCGGAGCCGTGTGCAGAGCCGGGGAAGGCGGGACCCCGGCCCGACACCCTCCCCCCCACCCCTCCCCACCCCCGCACCCTCCCTCCCCCCTCCCCGCCGCCCAGGCCGGTGAATCACCCCCTCGGGACCCGTGAAAATGAGGAATTTGCCGGGACTGCCGCGAGCCCCGCCTGGGCCGCCCCCGCTCTCCCGCAGCCCCGGCCCCAGGCCCTGCCCTTCCTCCCCCGCCTGCTCTCAGGCCAGCCGCTCCTCCGCCCGTGTTGACCATGTGACAGTGGCCTGCGGCCGGCCGCGGTGCTGGCACTGGGAGAAACTGAGGCAGCCAGGCGCCCTCCGAGCGGGCCGGCCTGCGCGAACGGCCACCCGACCCGGGTCAGGGGACATTCTGCACCCGCCCAGGAGCGCCCCGCGCCCCGCGTCCCGCGTCCCGGTCCTGTCCTGTGCCTGTCCGGTGCCCTCCCCCGCCTCCGCCCAGGCCCGTCCCCTGCAGGCTGCTGACTGGCAGCCCCCCAGCCCAGCCGGGCCTCCGAGCCCCCTCCCGGGTCAGTACCGGTGCCGGAGCTGCCCTTCTGCGCTGGGGCTGGCCTGGCAGTCGAGGCTGCCACGCTGCCCCTTCCCTCACCTCCGCTGGGGTTTTCACCATCCCTTCCCCGCAGCAGGGCTTTCCTGCCGCCACCCCCTGAAGCAGGCAAAGAAAGGGACAGGTGATTCCTTCCCAAACCCCTGGGCCCCAGCTCTGTAAGCTGCCTGCAGAGCCCGTTCCCTGCAGAGCTAGCATGGTGCTTTGCACAAACAAGGGGGCTCCAGGTGAGAATTCAGACGCAGGTAGGCCCAGGTGGGGAGGTGGTTACACAGAAAGAGCACAGGAGCGAGCAGCAGGACGGTGACCGGCCCGCCCCATGCTGCCCAGAGGCGGCCAGCCTCCTGTCCCTTTGTCCCAGCAGGGGCACCTCCCTGAGGGCCACACACACAGCCTTTGTTTGGACTGGATGGTGACTCACCTGTGTCATGATGGTGACCCCCACACACACACCCCCGACCCCGTCTCCCAGGAGCTAGCCTGTGCCCTGCAGCCCGATGACCCGAAACCCCACAACCCTCTGGAACTAGTCCTGTCCCTCCAACACAAAGTCTGTGCCCTCCAGGGCCTACTGTCAACCCAGTAGGCAGCTAGAGCACTTGTAAACTAGCTTAGATTTTAAATTTAAAAGCGGGGGTGAGGGGGGCGCCTGGGTGGCTCAGCAGTGGAGCATCTGCCTTTGGCCCATGGTGTGATCCCAGGGTCCCGGGATCAAGTTCTTCATCAGGGAGCCTGCTTCTCCCTCTGCCTGTGTCTCTGCTTCCCTCTCTTCTCTCATAAATAAATAAAATCTTTAAAAAAGTATTTTTTAAAAAAAGGCAAACCTCTTTTCCTTTTGCCATAAAGATGCTCAGTTCCTAAAAGGTCACAGCCCTGGAAAACCACATTGACCCAAAAGTATGATTGCTCTTTGACACAAACGATCAGGATCAGCTTGTGCCCAAAGGCTCTGCTTCTTAAAGAAATCCTCTACAGATCAGTAAAGTGCTTTATACCTGCAGAGCCCAGAATCCGCTGCATCCTGTGTTGTGGGAGACGTTGAGGAACAGCTGTAGTGGCCCCAGTAGGGGAATGGTGCAGAGAACCGGGGCACATCTACCAGGCGGGAGAGACCTTTCAACTAAAGATTGTATTTAGTTGAAAATTTTGAAACATTTTACTCCATTTTTAAGAGTAAAAAAAAAAATCACACACAGCCTTTCAAGTGACCCGTCCGAGGGTTAAGTAAAAGGGAAGACGGGTGGAAACCTGCATATAGTGCTGTCGTGGTGAGAATGTTAAATGACCCCGTGACGTTCGTGGAGCTGGAAGGGCGGAGGTAAGCTGAGGCACCACCATGGAAACGGGCAGATCGAGGGAGTCGAGTTCTGCGCTTCGTGGGGCGGGCTAACGGCGGAACGCGTCCCTCCGCGATCAAGAACAGTCGGTGGTGGTGGAGAAAACCTAACGGGCCGCACGGGAACTGTTCACAGTGTTAACGTGAGCAGGTAAGCTGTGAGCTCCCCTCGCGGGAGGGAGGCCGCTAACGTTCTCTCCCGGCCCCCAGGTGAAGGCCCAGCTGGAAGAGCGGGAAAATAAGAAGTACACTACTTTTAAGGCCGTGACATTCAGGAGCCAGGTGGTCGCGGGGACAAACTACTTCATCAAGGTGAGCGTCAGAGCCGCGGTGGGGACGGAGGGCGGCCTGGGGGGGGGGGGATGACCTGGAGGGCTCCCCCTCCCCGACTCCAGGGCCTGCACCATGCAGGCTGGCCCAGCAGGGGCACGTGGGTTCAGAGGTCCTGCCGGCCCCTCACTCCCCTCCCCCGACCGTACCCCATTCCAGGTCCAAGTTGACGATGACGAGTTTGTGCACCTTCGAGTATTTCAGAGTCTCCCGCATGAGAACAAGCCCTTGGCCTTGTCCAGCTATCAGACCAACAAAGCCAAGCACGACGAGCTGGCGTACTTCTAGTTCCGCTCTGAGCGGGCCCGTCCACGTGGTTCCATGTGGTTCCATGTGGTTCCGTCCTCTCTGGGCGTGTCTGGGATCAAAAGCCAATGCCGTTGCTTTACGGGGCCACTTAGGGAGAGGCTGTCATGCACCTGTCTTGGTCCCTGCTCCTAACTTCCGTGGGCGAGACAAAGTCAGCACAGTCACTGACCTTCATTACGTTCATCGAGGGCTTATAGTCCCTTTAAATACATATTTGTAGATCTTTGCGAATTTCCTCCTTTGTTTTGGTGTTTTCTTTCATCTGAAACCATAATCATATCCAGAAGCATCAAGATGTGCGAGTGACGTGTTTATGTGGCTGTTTTACAGCCTCGTGACCGCTGCGCCGTGTGGGGCCCCTCCTGGGTCACGCGCTGGCCTGAGCTGGCCGGCCACCCCTTCCGCCCGCAGAGCTGAGCCCCGGGGGAGCCGCCCAAGGTCATGGCGAGTGGGTGGGGAGCCCAGGATCCAGGAGCCTGTGTTCTAACCACGGCTCCCCACACCTGCCTCGACTCCGTCCTGTCTCTGGGCCTTAGTTCCCCCATTTAATGACCAGATTTGGGGAAATCTGATTCTAGAGCATTAGCTCTCGTGTACTCAGACGCCTTCACACACCAGCCTACACCCTGGTAGAAACACACAGATGTGCGTGCAAGAGGCCACAACAGTTCACATAACAAGGATGTACATGAAGGGGCGTCTGGGTGGCTCCGCCGGTGAAGCGTCTGCTTTTGGCTCCAATTGTGATCTCAGGGTCCTGGGATCGAGCCCCGTGTCGGGCTCCCTGCTCAGCGGGGGTCTGCTCCATCTCCCCGTCCCCTGCCCATGCTCGCTCTTGCTCTCTCACGTGAATACATAAAATCTTCAAAAAAAATTATATGTACGTGTAGAAGAACCATACGGCCTCACTGAGCCTTCCCCCTGGAAGGGTCTCGAGTGTACCCTCTGAGCTGCGTGTGCTCGTCCAGGGGGCACCTGGGCAACAGCACAGCTCCGGTTTTCAACAGAGGGGCCCTGCCACGAGTGGCCGGTCCTGTGGTTGGTTTGCCCCGTGTCTGCATCCCGTCAATAAAGAGCGCACGGTTATGGGGAGAGCAAGGGCTGGGGAGGGGTCCGTGTGGTTTGGGTCGTGGCAGAAAGCTGTCAGGGGCTCGAGTTGGTCTCCCGATTCCCAAACCACTCGGCGTCAAGGATCGGGCTGTCTGGATGGCGAGGGAAGGGAGAGGGCCCCAGGGTCGTGAGCGAGCAGCTTCCCGGCTGAGGGAGAGAGCCCCCGTGCGAGCCATGTGCGTCCACCCTCTGTCCTGGAACGAGAAGGGTAAAAGCTTTCGTGACCTGCTCGACCCCTTGGTGTGGCTGATTCTGCACCGAAGCGAAGGTGTAGCCTGTCGGCGGCTCAGCACGGAGACAGCAACCCGGAGCCGGTCTGGGAGACAACCGGTGGGTTGGAGCTCGTCCACCCGCCCCCCGCAGGGACCGTGGAGCTCCTGTCCTGCCCGTGGTCTCTGCGACACGACTGTCCTGCACTTCTGCAGCTCACCCACTGTTAGCCCGCCCTGCCAGGCTGGTGACGCCCCCCAGTCGTGCCCCCCACCCCCGCCTGGAATGGCCCTGTTATCAGCGCCATTCGCCCCTGCGAGTGCCATCTGTCTCTCTGGGACCCAGAACACAGGGACCAGGCCCAGCCCTGAGAGTCACAGACCCCGAATCTCCAGCTCCCCAGGCAGGTGGGCACCTTTCCCAGCTGCCCTCAGGTGAGTTTCCTCTCCTCTGCTCAGAAACCTCGGCCAATGTCACTCTTCCCAAAGCCAGACCCTGCATCCTCCCCCTGGGGCCACACGGGTCAGAGCACCGGGCCATGCCCTGGTCCAGCCCTGGTCCAGCATCCTCACCAGTTCGGGGGGGCGGGGGGGCACACCCCGCCGCACCTGTTCCCTAACTGCTCCCGGGACGCGGTGGGGGCGGAAACCACAGCCCACGGACCCAGATGGCATCGGATGCACGTTGTCCTGGAGATAGAAGGACAAGGGATGGACGGCATCCGTGCACTGGACACGATCGTCGGCGTGGGTCAGCCGTCATCCCCAGGTGGGGTGCCTGCGAGACTCCGAGCTGCTGGGAAGCGGCCCGAAGGCATTTTCTGCCCTTGCAAAGGCAGGGACATGGCTCCAGCACACAAGGGCCAGGGGATGGGTGAATTCTCCGTGGTCCGGGTCCGCACACGGGCTCTTCATCTACAACTCAAGACAGATTACAAACTCGGAGAACAGACTTGTGGTTTTTTTTTAAGTATTTATTTGAGAGAGAGAGAAGGAGAGGGAGAACGAGAGCACCAGCGAGGAGAGACAGAGGGACAAGCAAGCTTCCTGCTGAGGGGGGACCCCAACAAGGGGCTCGATCCCAGGACCCGGGATCATGACCTGAGCCGAAGGCAGACGCTCTGCCGACTGAGCCCCCCGGATGCCCCTCCCTGTAACTCTCCTAATTAAGAGGGAAGAGCAGAGTGAAACCACGCTGAGGCCCTGTCTCCGTCCTGCGCCACCGGCAGACGTCTGGAAGCTTGCTAACCCCCAGCGGGCTGGGAGTGCCAACAGGTGCAACCCCCGTGCGGGGACCTGGTGACCTCTTGGGACTACACAGGCACGTGGGCTTCCAGCAGGCACTCCCACGGCATGGTGACCACGAGCAGAGTCCACAGTGACCAGACGCTGGAGGAGGGGGGACTCCTCATCGGATTCAGGGCTTCCCATCGTACCCTACCCAGCTCACCTCCGCAGCCCTGGGAACAGGCCACCCTAGGCTGTCTGTCCCCACCTGCTCTGGCACCAACGTCCAACCCAGCGGGACCCACACCTGCCCTGAAGCTACGCAGCACACCCCAAAAGCCCAGAGTCGCCCACCCCCATGGGCTGGACTTCGATCCACTGGAGAAGATGGGGGGAGATGGGCGACCTGGAAGCCCTGGTCGTGGTCACACCCTGCCATGCATCTTCTCTCCCTCCCCCTGCCTTGTCCCTTCTTCTGGCCTCACCTGCCGCCCTCGGATGGCACCCCGCTCCCTCCCTACTACCGTAGCTCAAGGAACCCAGCCTGGGAAAGCCCGCAGCAGCATGGTCTCCAGGGTGGGGCCTGGACCCGAGGCCAGTCTTCCCACCCTCCAGGGGAAGCCGGCACCAGGAATCCTCTCTGCAGCTGATGTCTGACAGCCATGCGTGGTCCTCTGCTGGACCTTTCCTGCGGAGCCTCAGAGAGACACGGGCGACCGTGTGAGGACCCAGGTGCCCGCCCATCCCCATCACAGGACACAGAGGGCTGAAGGATGTCCCTGGGGATGTGCCGGTGATGGGGGGACGGAGGACTAGCTGAGGACAAGGCACATCGACAAGTCCTCAAAACAGGCAGAGGGACCTTCCTCTACGGACTCAGCTGCCTGGATGTTCATACCTCGCTAAGGGCAGAAGGCAACCTCAGCCCGACCCCCAGGAGCCTGTAGATCTACTTTAACATATAAAAATTCCTTTAGAAATGTCCTTTATCTCTAAACCCCCAAGATAGGGGATCCCTGGGTGGCGCAGCGGTTTGGCGCCTGCCTTTGGCCCAGGGCGCAATCCTGGAGACCTGGGATCGAATCCCACGTCGGGCTCCTGGTGCATGGAGCCTGCTTTTCCCTCTGCCTGTGTCTCTCTGTCTCTCTCTCTCTCTCTGCGACTATCAAAAAATAAATAAATTAAATAAATAAATAAATAAATAAACAAACCCCCAAGATATGTGTTGACGATCATCCCCAAGCACACGGCCCACCGATACACATCTGAAGGGTCTCATGCCTCAGATTTATTAGAGGGTAATCAGTGACTTTTTCCCAACAATAGCTGCCCCTCAGGGTCCTGGAAACCTTGCTTCCAAGCTTCCTTCGAGAGGACGCCATCCTTAAACCCCTCCCGACTCCCTGGTGTGTAACCCGCCTCCCCTCAGAGGCCCCAGGCTGCCCGCTCTTCCTGCCCACGGGTCCGTCCCGGGCTTCCATAAACCCCCCACTCTGCACCAAAGACGTCTCCAGAATCCTTTCTTGGCCGTCGGCTCCGGGCCTCACCTGTATTCCAAGACTTCATCGCCAGGAACCTGCGGATGTAACCTTACGCGGCAAGGGGACGGTTCAGATGATTACGCTAAGCATCTGGAGCTGGAGGGGTGACCCTGGACTCTCCGGGGGGCCCGATGTCATCCTGGGGTCCTTATAAGAGGAGGCAGGGGCCAGAGTCACACTAGAGAGGCTACACTGCTGGCTGTGACGTGGGAGGGCCACCGGCCAGGAGTGCAGCTGGCAAAGGCAGAGGGTAGGTTCCCTGGAGCCTCCAGAAGGACCCAGCCCTGCGCCCCCATCTTTACCTGTCTGACCTCCTCGACTGTGAGTGACTCTGCGTTGCTGTAAGCCACCACATTTGTGGGAGTAGGTTACAGCAGCCACCAAGTCGCCCACCAGGAGGGCCTCGCCGGCCAGCTAGGGGCACAGGAGAGCCAGCAGGGGGCTTGAGAGGTGGAGTTTGAGGCCTTTGGGAGGTACAGCAATCCCCCCCTTCTCTCCCACCCTCTCCTGCCTTTCTGGCACGGCAAGGAGCCTGGCGTTCCTGGAGGCTGCCCGGGGCCTTATTCACAAAGTGTGGGTGAGTCACAGTGGAAGCGCAGTACCCGCTGGGCCAGTAGGACCAGCGCCCTCCCCCCCCCCCCCCCCCCCCCCCCCGGGATGCAGGAACTTGGGCCCAGGCGGTGGAACCTGAGCAGTGACTGAAGCACGTCTCAGACTCTGGCCTGCGGGGGTGGGGAAGGGACCCCCCCACTCCTGGGTGGCCCTGCCCTCAGGGCACAGCAGGTGGGAGAGAGGGACGGCCTCCTGGCGCTGGCGGTGGGGCAGGCTCTTCCGGGGGGCTGGGGACCGGGCTGGGGGGCTGGCTGGGGGGTTCAGGTACTAGGGGATAATTAACAGGGAGTCCCCGACAGGAAAAGAAATCACTGCCCTGAGACACCATGGCCAGAAAGAGATTTATTTGTGGATAATCGCGAGTCAAGAGGACACGGACACGGCCTGCACAGCGCTGCTGGAGGCCTTAAACCTCCACACGCGCACGGACGCACGGACGCACGGCTGCGGCCCCAGAGCGGCCCGGGCCGCAGCCCGACCTCAGAGGCCCTCTGTCCGCCTCCCTCGCAGCTGCAGCAGCTGGGCCGGGGGGGGGG